CCAGCTTGCATTCCCACCAATAGTGTAGGAGGGTTCCCCTTTCTCCACATCCCCGCCAACATCTGTCGTTTCCTGACTTGTTAATTTTAGCCATTCTGACTGGCGTGAGGTGGTAGCTCATTGAGGTTTTGATTTGGATTTCCCCGATGCCAAGCGATGTTGAGCACTTTTTCATGTGTCTGTTGGCCATTTGGATGTCTTCTTTTGTTTACCAAAAATTCTAATACAGAAAAATATATGGTGAAAATTTACTTATCCTCCTCATCCCATTAACTATCAATGATTCCAGGTTTTCTTTGAGTAGTACAACCATTAGTGACTCAGAATTTTCCTTTCATATATGAGAAAGTATTAATGAGTTTTAACTATTCTCACTTGGAATAGTAGTCACTGAGTTGTCACTTACCATCTGTGTGATATTTAGCAAGTTGATTACCCTCTCTGAATCTTAGTTTCTTTGTCTATAATACGAGGATAGTAACCTGAGTTACAATGAAAAAATAAGATATATGTGAACACACCTAGTATGTCTTCTGGTAGAGTGAGCATTTTTTTATGTTTCCTATCCCCTTTAACTAAATCATGGGTGACCTTGAATATAGAGAACAAATATACTATTTTGTCAGACTTAAGAGGTCCTCACACAATAATGGGAGGGTCAGAAGAAGGAAAGAGTAGATTTTTCAGATTTTGGCATTTTGGCTAACTCACATAGTTAAACTCCTTTACAAGTGAGTTGCTATACAAAGCTATGGAAACTTCAGGTTAATTAAGTTAGATCAGGGTTTCTCAACCTCAGCATTATCGAATTTTTTTTTTTTTTTTTTTTTTTTTTTGCTTGATGATTCTTTGTCATGGTGGGGGGTACTATTTGGCCCCTACTCATTAGATGCTAGTAGCACCCCTCCCTTTGGTGACAACCAAAAATGTCTCCAGACATTTCCAAATGTCTTCTATGGGGGGAGGAAGGAGAATATGGACTCTAGTTGAAAAATCACTGGGCTAGATAAAATATATTTAGAATTAATACATCTCAGAAACTTCATTCCACAAAAAATTATTTCATTTAAATAACCATTCTATTATTAAATTATGAAAATCATTTGCTTTTGATTAATACTCTGAATGAAATATTTCTTGGAAAAATGCATCTAGAAATTTTTGTTCTGAATGTTAGCA